CCCAGCTTGGGTTAAATTTAAATCAGATTCACCACAGTCGTCGTACTGATGAGGTCCAATTATGGTAATGGTAAGAAATATATGCGACTTAATGGACCGGAACATTTCTTAGCACTAAAAATAATTTTCAACACTTTATTAATTTCTTCTTTTCTGCATTAAAATATTTTATTGCTGTCGTAGTAGTCTGTGATCCCTGGGGTATAAAAGCACTCTTCCCCATCTCTGGGACGCCACTACTAGTTCAACCCACATTTGAACCTATTCGTGTCTTATTCATCTTCTGGGAGCTTGGCCCCCCAGAGCCACACCACCTCTTTTTGTATTTCCTTTTATTATTTTGCGTACTTATATATGTTTATATGACTAGATATCTTCCACACACCCAGGACATGCCACTAGTCAAGGATATTAACATTTAGGGTCGGGTTACCAAAAAGAGCGACAGTGGTTATATGCGTTTTGGAAATTTAAAAAAAAATGTAAAGCATGAAAGTTTGTTGAGAGGGACACAGTCGAATTTGTCAGTTGTGGGAAAGCAGGGAGTGCTAATTTAGATACCCAGATAAGCGAGCCTGTATGTGTTTTAGCTATTGTCCAGTCTGTTTTTCATCCCTAAACTGTAAGCACAGACGGCAGAACCGCTGCGGAATGGGGCGAGAATCATCAGTACAGTGCCCCATTCCGCCATGTTTGAACGAATATGTGATTTTCCGAAGGAAGATGAAGAAAGAAAGGAAGTGGAGGTGACCGCAGAAGTAGAAATAAAAGTAAAAATAGCATGCAGCAGATACGTCTCCGTCTTCGTTTTTTTTGCCGGTGGTTCAGTAGATAATGCAATTTAAGCTAAAAACTATCAGTCACATCAATTAAGCGCATGTATGTTCTGTCAGTGAAATCTGAATCCAAGCGGTGGTGTACCTATTGTTTTTGTAGGTTCATTATGGACTGACAGAGATTTCTAATTCACTCGTTATTTGCTTATAACGGCACGATTCCGATTTAAAAGAACTGTCTGTATTCTATTAGTATCATATCCTCAATATTCATAGATTTTACTGAGTTGTCTGGCCCACCACGTGAATCGGTGGATTGTATTGCAAATTCTAGCATAGCGAAGCATCTGCGGCATAATTATACCATCATGTATAGAGAGGTCAACATCACTATCAGGTGGCTGGCTTGGTTGATGGGGAAAGGATAATCAAAGTTTTATTGTAAACATCAAACGTGCACCGTCCGTCAACACAGCTGATT